ATTTTACTCGTAGCTATAGTACCGCAACTTCGTGTGAATTTTTTGCATGTTGTGTGCATATCTATCGAATCAATTCAGCTTCTATGGAGAGTTGCCCGAAACTTCAGGGGCATGTGAATGAATCCAGTTATCTCGAAAATGATTCTATGCGATTGCAAATATCATACATATCAACACCCAGAATTACTCACATTGTGTGGGTGAAGATGAACATTCTGATTTATGAAGTATTCGTTAAAGTGGATTCTTCTTTGAGACCTCAAAGTTTTTCATTAACACGACACATTCTCTCATTTTGAGAACTCTGTGCCAATCAAGTTCGTCAATATGTCACTGACATAACTAAAGATTGGAGATGTCTGGTAAAGCATAGGTTTTTGATTGAGGAGAGTATGCCGAAATGAGAAATTCAAAAGATTTTTATTCGGAAGTCACATCTCCATACCTCGGAGGAAATTGAGAAAGGAATCCATGTGATTGCTTTTACAAGTGCATTGTTCATGTCTCCTCGTGAAGGCGTTGATAGAAAAAACTGCAATTTCCTCGTCATAAAATAAAGGCTGTCTATACACGCCAATTCCGTAAAAGCTCTAGCCATCTATTACGAGGACTACTTCACGGAAAATATGTGACTCTATGTGGAACTGCCAACACTTCATTCTAGCATGAGCACTTTAGTGTTTTATTCTCAGCGTGTTCCCTGTGAATATGTTGTTTTGTTCCTTTTGAACTCAATTTTTGAAACATTTGTGAAGATTATCTTGGCCTGTCTGGTTTCATTTACACTATCATTGCTCAAAAATATAGTTGACAATAGAAAACAGACGAAAAATGGATGATAATACAATTTGAGAGGAGTGGGTAGTATTTTCGAAGGCTATAAATCGTTCTTGGGTTTTTCGAAATGAGATCTGTTTTGATCTATTAAAGTTCTTCGATGTGTTGGTAAGTGGATTACTTGATGCCATATTATTAACGTAATAAAAATAGATTTTTGGCCGTAAATCAGTTCCAGCACTTTTTTTATCAATCTCATATTTTGCTGAAGACAAAAACATGTATAGAGAGAGATTTACTAATATTCATTACTTTCGCTTTTTTTTCAAGTGCAGAGTAAAAGGCGAACTGAAGTTCAGTCGAAAATCATCAAACCTATAGAAAGAAGATCCCCAGGAACATCACGCATAATGGAACGAGTGAAAACAGCTGGCAAATCAAGCGTTTTTACGATAATGTTAATCTGCAAATAGATTTGTGTGATAGCAAAGAATGATTGTTGCGAGCTAACACTAGTTCGAAGTTTTATCTAGCATAAGAATAATCTGCCAAGTTTTCTTTTTAGGGTGTACAGTCTCGAATAAAACTATGAAGACGAACGATTTGGTCAGCGCATTTATAGTTGATGCACGATATGTAACAAATCAAATATGATTCAAAGGCCAAAACAAGCCAAGCTTCGGAATTTTTTTTTTGGCTGAAAGTTGATCGTTGACCGCACCAGAGGTCTGTGAGAGAAATTAGCAAACTGTGATCTTCCAGTTGGAAAACCTACTAATTCCAGCGAATTCATGCATAGTAGCGTTATAAGAAATAATGTGCACCTTCAATAATTCAGTGTGATATGAGTGCATGTGCGCTGCGAACAAGTTACCCGTTCTTCATGACAAAAAATCAAAATTTTCGCGTTTATGAACAACATGTTAGAGCAGGTCATCTGTATAGAAACATGTTGAAGCAAGTGAGCGGTAGGGTATATAAATGATGTTGTCATTCCCTTCAGACTATCTAGGTTCTAATGTCAGGTTTATGCTTTTTAAGTATCATCAGCTCCACGTTCGTGTAGAGGCGGGGTTTTGCCGACTCAAAGCGTGGCGGTTTTTGATAGCGAGAGAGTACAAAAAACAATGCTATGACGTGGAGGTTTAAACAAGTTTACCTGTATTATCAGGCAAAGTCTGCAATACTCCTCTACACGAATCGTGGAGACGATCATACTTTGTAGCATAACTTTATGTTCATACATAGATGCCAAGCTTTATTCCGGCAATAGCATTGACGCTTCATTGAGAAAAATTTATGTGGACCTTATAAATTGTCAATGAAAATAAAACGGTATTTTTCTCAACCTTATTCTTGTTCTTTTCCTCGTCGATGTGGTAGGAATAAATCAAATTCGCTATCACCTTTGTGTTTACTTCACACCACCAGAAGATTGACCTTGAACCGAACTTTCAGTCGCGGCATGCAATGAATGATGATGTGCTGTTTTTATGAAGCTGAAGTCCCGCGTTGAAGGTACTAAACCTGCTTCTGCAGTAGTTCTCTCTTGTTTGAAGTGCTTTGATTGACAATAGATCAATTGAGACTGAAGTTTGAACGATCTATTGTGCTTAGCGTGGAGTTGATCTGAAGAAGTATTTAGTGTATCTAACGCAAACATACAATAAAAAGGTCATTGAATTCTTTTCTCCGGTTCAGTTCTTCCAGCGGTTATATAGACTCTGACGATCAGTCTTGCAGAACTTGTTATCAATGCGTATATATCTCTAAAGAGGCCACAGTATTGTTGTTTGTGTGATTTCATGAACACTATTCTCCGGACATGCCCATCTATATCGTCATGATTTTTATGTGGCGTTCTCGAGAATTCGCATTTACAGTAAGCTGAAATCGTTTTGATTTGTCCGCTTAATCAACACCTCCTCGACTATATCTTCTCATCACTATATCCATCGCGTAGGGTAAATTTCTTGCTCTTTGCAAGATTTTGAATGATTACTTGTAGCGCTTCGCTGTATCCCCAGAGACCAAATGAAAGAAAAACTTAGCCGAGATTCTCTCGTTGTATGTCAGGCAGCAGAACTGCTTCGTATTTCCACTCCACATATCGCAAATAAACGTATCCGACTCTGCCTTTTCCGCATCCAAATGTTCATCGTCATACGTTGTCTTAACTGCAAAAATATGTGAGAACGATTCTTTGAAGGTTTCGAAGAATCATCATCCCACTGGTTCGAATTCACATAGAAGGAAGGTGGGATGATGAAGAAAAGTGTATGACAAGAAAGCTTGTCCCTTTTTGTGATGTTATCAAATCTCTAGGACTCTTACGATCACTCTGATGCGATGTGCCGCTGGCATTCTTTCTCTTCAGTTTAGAGCTGACATAGTTGCTGTTCAAAATATTGTAGGTGCGTATAGTTGAATGTCGTTAGAGATGTGTTGCAACATCTTGGGAAACATTAGATTCCACAGAGTTGTGAAAATATTGAAGTACTTTGATAGCTGCAAGGTTTCGTCTGTATCGACCAATTAGATGTTTTGGCTCATTTTTGTCCGTTTATCAAATTTAGTTTATTGAAGTTTAGTTATGGGAAATGAGAGCAAAACTTTTTTTCAGTGTCAGCTTGTAGAATTCTCCCGAGACTAAATGCATGCCTAGACATGTCAAAATTATTGCGTCTGGAATTCGCTCACGAGACATTCTTTTGATTCCAGTAAAAAGTTTGAAGATCTCCGAAGTATTATCCTTTCTGACTCGAGTTTTGCATGCGTTTGTTTGACAGTTTACTAGAGGATCAACATGATCGAATATACAATTCTTACAGTTCCTAAGAAAATATACTCGAGCTTATTAAACAGTGGCAACACATTCTCAATTATTCTATTATACTTAGCGTGGGCTATACTGCCGTGACCATTGAACTTTCAGCAATCAAATGTTATTATTTGGCGGCAAAATCTGAGCATTTCTCATGGTTTTCTGCACTTTTAAGAAAATGAGCTATCAATTCTTGCAATTCTCAGTTCTGTACTTTCCGATTATATGACCTATGTGACTCTGCTTCATGGTTTATCAAGTGCATCACTGTCTTCTTCAAGGATTCCAAACTGGACACCGTGTTTGGTCTCTCCCTGCTCATGCATTACAAAGTAGATCAGCGCAGCTCCTGAAAACAAAACATGGTCTTTACGTATTAGTTCGCGTAATTGTGTTCTCATTCTTTATTTCGTTGTCAAATTATCGTTGAATAAACTATGCTCTATCCTAGGTCTACTTTGCAAATGCTTATAGAATTTCATCAATAATTTCATTATCAAGTTTTGTGAAGTGAAGTTTTTTCGAAACGCAACCACTTCGATCTTTGAGGATGCTTATGTGCGAAAAATAAGCAGTGCTTATATAGATGCGGTGCTTCAAAAAGATTCGATTAAGATAATGTAGCCGTACATAGAAGAACACAGCCGGAGCGGTAATCGAAATCGAGAAATGCCCACGTTTTTGCCATAGACGAATCTGATAACTATAAATTTTGTGTCAGCAGACACCATAGCGTCGTTCTAGATCTTGTTTCACTTCTTAGGTTTCGCAGTCTTGCATGAGTAGTGTTCATAGTCATCAGAAGAAAAAAAACTGCAGAAATTCTCACCCTGTTGCAAAGTAACAAACTGTTTTGAAATCTGAAAATTTTGTACCGTTCGATACATACAGAATATTGTATGACTCCAATGTTAGTCGCCTCACCTTGATTCTCTTCGTAGTCGCATTTAATCATTTTGTACTTGAAAATGATATGAAAGGCCGTGCTCGGTTTGCAGCAGTGCACTTGCTCTTCTAATTTGCTAACTGTGACTTGAGGCAGCAGTCTTGGAAAATGTTCGTAAGATTCTGTTACCTCTGCTAAGAACACTAGACTAGAGAAGACTCTATACTTCGATTTTTCTATCTTCTTACTTTTTTCTTGTTTCGAGACGTTAGGAACGACGTATTTGGTCTTTATCTCTCTTAACGTTGACGTTTATTCTGTCAGTGAGAACTAGTTGTCTGCGATGTGAGATATCATTGAGAAGTTCGTGCGCATTATCGCTAGTGTTCATTCATTTGTCGCAGCGCTGCGCTTCAATTTAGAATGAAAACAGTTGCCGAGTGAGTCTTCGTAGATATTGATGAAAAACCTTGAATTGTGGTTTCTTCAAAAATTTGGATTCTGCCTATTTAGGTGTAACGAAAACTGGAGCGACGAGTCGTGTCGCGCTCTTGCTTGTTCAAAGCCCGGACGAGCACTCATCGCCGCGTTCGCCATGCTCTTCCTCGTCTTCACTTACCTCGGATTTATGAGTAAGTCTACTATGTTAAATGAAATCGATTTCATCCGAAAGTCGACTCAGTTTCTATTTTTGAAAGTTTTTTAAAGTGATTGTTCATTTCTCTGCTCAATTTGCCCATCATGTTACAGTATCTTTCCAAAATTGAAACTGGTTCTGGATTTGATTTATGTTCATTATGAACATGCAATGAGATCGTAATTCTTTTCAGTTCTTACAGCAAATCGAGCGTCTTCTATAATGGACATCGGTGATCCAGCACCGAGAACAGGGGTCAATACTACTAGGTCAGTACCTGCTTTACCAGTTCTCAAAAATATTGTGAAAATCAAAATGATTGTGATGAAACATTCCTGGAATTGTTTTAGCCATAGCCTAAGGGTGTTGTCGTTCAGTCATTCGATCTTTACAATTACTTTCTTGCAAATACTTATTTTGACATGGTTCTACTGTATTTGCTTGTCTAATATGGCGCGTTTTTGATCTGTTTCTTTGTCTAGGTTTGTTGTAGAGAACTGGCCACTGCTCTTAAAAGAACAGGCTTAGGCAGCAATTTGAAGATTAGTTGAAGTAGTGCGTAGTTGAGTGCCTAGTCATAAATGCAGAGCAAAAGAAGGACGCTTCGAACTTAGGAACAACATTTCTATGGAAGAGGCCAGTGAATGTTGATTTTTGCAGCTTTAACATGTTTTTGAGCTGCGCTATCTTCAAATGGTTGAGACGAAGGAAAAATAATAGGTATAGAAATAACATAGATAGGAAGGCTTCAGTCGGTGCGCTAGTTCAAAGATTATAAAAGAACCGTAGGTTCGCATAGCTTTTGCTTGATCAGAGCTTTAATCTGGCTTATATGACTTATCCGGCGTGGATTACTTCCCTCAACCAAATGGATGTGACGGAGTTTTGTATACTTTGACTGAAATGAGGAAGGAATTTCGCTAGAATATGCAGGTCAAGAGTAGTAAAGAAACTATAGATGTGTTTCTCTCCTATTTTTTTTGCCGATCGGTTTGTCGACACGAATAATAAAGTGTTGTACGAAGTGAAAGTGGGTATTGACATAAGCAAAACAGGTTTTTACTGTTTATTGTGGTAATTTAGACATCCAATATGTGAAAGTGGATTCCGTATCGCAATGGTAGCTTTTTGCAGCGAACATAGTTCGATGACAGCGAAAAAGCCCATTCTCCTGGTTTATATTCTAGGTATCGGATTACGGAATCCTGACAAAGGATAGCAAACAAAGATGGTATTCTATACCAAGGTTTTTTCTCAACAGCCTATTGTTGCAGGGCGATAGAAGTGCTCACGGAACTATGTGACGCTTTCCAAGACGGTTTAGTATCTGGAGATCTGTGTAATAGGTTGTGTTACTATAGGGACTGGAAAGTGACCGATTACTATGAAGGACATAAGGTATTGCAGATTTTTCAAAGGAAATGCTTCAGGCTCTAATTCCTGTTTCTAGGTTGTGTTGGTACTGAAAGATGGCGGACAAACAGCCGTGCTGAAAAGTATTCATCCTTCAATGAGTGATTTTTCTCGGCTTGATCGAAAACTTTCGTACGATGAATTTTCGGACAAGGTGAGGCTTTTTTATATCTTTTGCTGCATGTTATTGCATTCTGCTGCATTTTGCAGGTACTAGCGCTGATAAATGACGAATTACGTCTCGGTTGGCCGCGTCACTATAAAAAGCATTTGATGGAAACTCTCTGGCCTACGCTGAGACGGTAACGTGTCTACACTTATCTATCAAATCCTCTTTTCAACTCGAGATACATTTCAGAACTCCGGGTGAACAAATGTCTGTAGTCGATCGAGAGTCTTTGTGGACATTATTGCAACAACCAGAGTTCATCTTGTTCCGTGTTCTGCCGTTGACTCGGGTAACCCCAAAGGTATCCAATAAATAGCTTGTAACTTCTGTGATTGAACGTCGTCGTACTTCTAGATTATCGGTACATGTGGTCAATTTTACTCTAGTGAAGCTCTTGTTGCATTCCGAATGAAGGGGTATTACATGAATCTCAAGGTTTGTAACCCTTTCGCATTTTCACGTCCCTTATTACAGCGTATTTTGAGGGGAAAATTCTTGTGCACATTATGGGTACTCTCAAATTGTTCCACGAGTTCATCAATGAGCCTCTGCAGTGGTGCGATGTACGATTTGACAATCTGGGGCTATCAGCTGATTATCCAAAAAGGTACCGTTCTTGCTTTGAAACTTCTATAAATGAATAGTTTTTTCCAGATTTGTTCTGATGGATGGCGACATGGTGTATACTGAATCTCGGCTTCGTGCTATTCTCAAAGGACGACCATGCAGCACTGATGCTGACTGCAGAATAGGCGACTGCAAGGCGCGATGTACTTCTGCAATGACCTGCTCGGAAAGGACGGATACAAATCTTGAGGTGAGAGAGTTTCTTCTTTTTTCACGTTTTGCAAGCTTCATCTTTGTATTTTGTTTGCAAGGATCAAACCTCGTTTTTCTAATTCTATCACTCTAAAATCTCACAGATAATTCCTCCCATCAGATAAGTTCGTCTGCAGATGAGTCTGTTTTCTTTCATTATAACTACCCTGAAATCTTGTTAGATGAGTCCGAAGACTGTCACATAAGTCCGGGCTTATCTTCAGATGGACTTATCTGCAAGATTCTTGGCAGTGCGAGGGTGCATTTCATCGATTTTTCCCGTCAAAAAGCGGATTCATCTCTAAGATTTTAGGGAAGGTCTTTTCCTGTGGTGACACTGGTAACATGTCCATATTACATAATTTGTATCACTGCCTTTGGTTTTGATAGTGATCGGCAGGCGAAAAGATTGGAACCGACTCGACTTCTTCTTCATGTCGTCTTTGCACGCTCATCCATATCATACGCGGACTAATCTACAAAACTTTGCAAAGCAAACAAAGTTGTGCAAGAAGAAGTGGATTACTTTGATGAACTTCCTGTTTTCTTTTTCTGTTCGTTTACGCAGATTTCTTTTTCGAAAACTCAAGTAGGCCCTTCTTTGGTTTTTCTAATCGTAAGGCAACTCTCAGCCTTAGTATGTGAGTTTAGCAGAACTTTAGGGTGAAATACTTGACATTGAGATTTTGCAGTATTACCTTGAATCTAGAAAGGTAAGGAAGGAAGCATTGAATATGTCGTAGTTTGATATTGAGTGGGGATATTGAATAGGAGGAAGGCTTTTGAGTAGGGCGCATGCTTTTTATACTTAAAATAAAAAGAAAATTTGATCTTTCTCTCCTTTGCGCCGTCATCTATAAACGTTTTTTGAAACTCGAACTCAATTGTCCTATTTACAGGTTTTCTGTGAGAAGTTGGTCCGGAAATTGTTTGGTCACACGTACTCGACGCATAACAAGTACCTAGCAGCATGTCAAGAAACCAATGGGAACATCACACAACGGCTCAACGAGCTGCGGCTCACCTGGTCTTGGAATCTCTCCGATGTCTAGCGCTATAAATCGGGTAACATATCGTCGAAAGCGGTTCCTAACTACCTGAATGTGCATAGACCTCTTCCCTAATATTGTTTTAATATATTGTCATCAAAGTCATTGCCGCTCTCATGAAAGCCATTCATTTGCATGTCTTGAGCAAAGGTTTTCCATATCCACGGGTATCTCTTCTACTTTTGTGCTCCCAAAGAACGTTAGATTCGCTATATTGTTGTTGTTGTCTAGATATTCGTTATATATTGTTCCCCCGTTACGGGTGTTATCCTCTCTTCGGGATTACTGCATTAGCACTTAGATAGTTTTTCAGATTCTATACAGTTTAGGAAACTTTCCCTGTCAAATCTCCTTGCCTTGACACTATGGATCCATTGGTGTGTGTGTGTTTATGTTAGCTCATTATAGAAATTCTTACCAAGAGAAGCATCAGGTACTTCCCCTTCCTTGTAATCATTTTTATCTCCTAATCAGAACTTACTATGAAAAGCTCACTAAAAGAATGCGATACTCTCAAGTGATAAATTGTTTTACACAGTTGATGTCGTTGAAGAAAAATACACATATGTTCATAAATGTTGACAAAGCCGAACTGGTCGTGTTATCGCGAAGACATGGTCGTCTTATCTTAGAACTTGACCGCGACGAATTGATTGTTTCTTCTGCTTCCACTGTTAGCTTTTCTGCGTCTGGACTTCTTTACGACCAGATTCAAGTGCTGCGCTGCCTTTATCTTCTTCTGCACTCATGTAGCAGACGAGATTGGTTCCTGAACATACATTTTTGTAGTCAAAATTATGCACGTCCTGAGATTTGAAAGGCATTATGATTGTTTCAACACATTGATCCTTCTTCTATCACACACCTCACAAAAGTTGCTATCGCTTTTTCTCCTTCATCTACTTTAGTGAGCAACAGTACCAAATTATTCTCAAATGGTAATCAAATGGTTTGCTCACAAAAGAGAGTCTTCAGCTCTAAGTTTCCAGACCTCTTCCTTGCGTAGGAAATATTGAAGGTGGAGAGAAGGGCGCTTGAAAAGTTCCCTAAGAGTGGGCCCAAATGACTTCAGCTTTCTCCTTGTACCTTCATATCTCATGCAATATCTCTTTTTGAGTTTTTTTTTCAGTTATACCGACGCCTTCAAATCTCCGCTGAGACGTTTCTAACCTTTTTTGTAGTGAGATCCAGTCGTACTTTTTAGTCGAAAGGGCTTTCCAAGAGCTTCCAAGTGATTTACAGCAAGACCTATATTCTTCAGGTCCGAACACTACAGAATTTTGAGGCCAAATGTAGGCAGACGTGTTAGACTTTTGAGTACATCGTAGAACTATGATTCGTTAAGGGGTTCTCCATTTCGTCAGCGAGCATCACTTTCAGTTTTTCTGGATTTTTTCTTCACTGCTCGTTTTTTTTTTGAAGCTGATATCGAGATTTCGTTGCATCTTTACATTCTGCGTTTGTTAAACTGAACTTGAATATTCCAGTATTAGTATTCCATTCATTGTTTGCCTTACATGGGTAAGACGAAACCTAACAAATTCTGCTAGAGAAGACTCGTACGTCTTATACTTTGTCAGCGTCATCTTGAGTGTTGTTAATGGAGTTTCTCTGCCGCTCGTAGTTTTTATTTACTGCGATTTCACCATCCGCATTACCAACAATCACAAATTATAGCATGTCAGGGAAATTATAGTATGTGACGAATTTTTTGCTAATTTTCATCCTATGGAGGTAAAGTGATGTTTTTTTTTGCAAGACTTACAAGGGAAGAGCACCGAGTCGCACAGGCGTTCAGCAAGGAGATATACATCATTAACGGCCCTGCGAAACATTAACAACATCTGGTTATCAAATCTGCGAAACGCTTTTGTGAAAGAGTTTATGGACTCTCCTGCATTGACAAGTTTTATTCTGTCTTCACTTGAATATTAATTCGGATACGAGTAGTGTGCAATCTGATATATGAAAAATTGTAAAGTGCATTCAAAAATCATCAGATAGAAGGTGTGGCGGCTCGGTGGGCCCTGAGCACCTAGATTTACCCAAGACACCCGCACGCTCGCCCGCTTAATACATGCGACGCAACCTAGCCTACTGCTTTACCTAGCGTGTGAAGAAACAATATAATTACTTATACTTTATCCTTATGACACAAAGGAAAACAAATAAACACTAAACTAAGACACTAAACTACTACTACAAAGACTACTAAACTAAAGGAGAAAGACCCCAACACGGGATAGGGTGCCCTATCCCGTGCTACCGATGTTGCGCGTCTATATAACATCTAAATATGCTAATGCTCCCGAGGCTTCACCTATACAGATCTGCCACGTTTCGCGGGATACCAGGCGGGACACCCCTCCGCTCCCAAGGTTCACAAGATCTTAAGTCCCAAAAGTTTCAAATGTAGCTCCTCCAAAACAATCGCAAATCAGACTTGAACTCTAATCCAATACAACTTCCGATCTGCTCGACCGCTAAAGCGAAAATGATACCAAAGGCGGGAGCTAAACTGCCAGGCACGAGCACAATAGAAAACATACGAAAAGATTATCGATCGAAGACGACAGACACGAAAGCAGACAGGCGTTGAAATGAGGCGCCGCCGCTATTTATAGCCTTTTTGCTGGCAACGCGCCAAGGCGAGGAGAGGTCCAGCGGCGATTGCGGCAAGATGGAAAAGTACCGTAATCGTCGCCGGATAGCGCGGCAGCAACCAGTGCTCCCGGCCTCCTACTTCTAGGAGCGCTCGCATCGCGGAGCCGCGACACTCCCCCCAGAAGCAGTGGACTTGGGCGTTCGAAAAGTGGTTGCGTGATAGCACCAGGATCTGCGGTTAATGCCTTTAGCCGAAGTTTTTGAATGATAGAGCGAAAAAGAATTGAAGTATCCATCGGTAGCACAGTAAGAGCGCGGCAGAAAAATAGCTGTAATGAACCCGTCTCGTGCGAAAAGCATGAAACATCCACAACTCAAAAGAAGAGCTACCGTGCGCAAATTGAGTACTAAAACCTAACACTGGGCGCACGAACTTGATCAGAGTATCACAGCTGAAAAAGGATTAATTTAATCATGAAGTGGGTATTATATGAAATGAGAGAAGTATAACAAAAACAAGAATGTGATCAGGTGAATATGATCATAAAAAATGACTAAATGAATTAAAGCTACCAAAACTACTACCACTACAAAGTGCTAACTATGATCTCAACTATGTACAATAAGCAAAGGCTGCTGCTAGTTGACCAGAAGGACCATATCCACGAAATGCACCACTACGCAAATGTGGTTCCACTTGACCAAGACGCGCTACGGTCCATAAGCTAATGCTGTAACACATCAACTTTGCGAGGTCAAGAGAGATAATGGAACTATGATTACCGTCTGATAACCGTGTCCGAATTCAATAGTCCTTGCATCGCAACCAGTGCCTTCCGAAACCCCACTAGCGCGCAACTCTGAACAAAATTAAGAGCGCGCAAACGCAAGCTGCATTTCCTAGGGCGCAAGGAATCACACGCTACGCTGCTTCGCTCTAGAATGGACGTTAGTCCAGCCTCCCGCGGCAAGGGGCGCGCGACCGAACTTAAATCAGGTGGGTACGAAGTGCGGCATGACAATCGCGCTACATACAAGATGGTAAGGAAAAAAAGCGCGCGTGCAGCAACCAACGCGATGAATTACAGCGGTAAAGCGCTTGCGGTGCGCGAAAATCACAACGAAGCAAAAGGAAACCTTGATTTGGCTGGGACATAGACTGAGAAGGTGGCAAAAGCGCGGAACCTAAATACGGGGATTGCTATGCAGCTGTAAAACATTCAGCAGAAAACATATGCGCTACCCAAATCTAATGCGCTTTGGGGCCAGAAAGCAGAATTGAGTTTGCGCGAACTATAGTGCGTCCAGACTAGCAACGGACAAGAGAAAAAAAAGAGCTAACAAAGGAGCGCGTTATGATCTAAGCTCAATGTCTACGCGTAAAAGATGGCTGCAGTCCACCTCAGCATATGCGCGCTCATACAGCTGGAAGTTTATTGATTGACCCAACAATGCAATAGTGAGGAGTAAGCCCTGAAACGTGTCAAAGTCCCGCAGCAAAACGCAATAAGGCCTGCTGGAGCATAAAAAGCGCAAAACGGTTCCAACCTCAGTCTAAGGCGCGAACAAATACAGCCCAAAGAAAAAAAGGAAACGCAACAGAAATCTGTAACAAGATGGAATACAGTAAAGATCCTGCCTGTTTCTCGAAGCTTCCTTCTCCTTTGACCAGTGGGGATTCGTAGTTGGGTTTGACCTGTCCACATTCGTCTTCCCAACGGCTTGAACAAACTGAACCTTGTAACCGAGGAGAGGTGTTTCTAAAAAGTAAAGACCAGCGGAACGGAAAAATATACGTACAATGACGGGTACATGACGCGCATAAATACACAAATAGTAACCTAAAAAACCTAAAGAGGTATATACAACCGACCGAATTTACTACCGATTATACTACGACCGAACCGAGATGCTAAGGTTACGTAGTAGGCGCGAAGGCAAAAGCACAATAGGGTTGTCAAACAGGGGCAGAATCGCACGCCGTAGCAAATGCGCGAATAACGCAAAGGCAAAGCAAGCAGCTGCATCCAAAAAAGACTACCTCAGAGAACGATATGGCGAACGCTGCAACAGTTACCTCCCTTGGCTATGCTCCAGCAGCAAGGTCCGCCACAGCGACACCATAGCGCACTCGCGGATAGGCTTCCAAGAGTCTACTGCCATACCAATCACTGCGCAAGACAACGCGCTGTGCACAGGGGCTTATAGCTGGAAAGTTGCTGCCACCAACTCCGACTAAGTCACCCCACGCGATGGCTACGCTCAAGGCTGCAAAACCAATGGGTTACCTGACACCTGATTGACGCGACTAAACGCATGCCCTATCCCGCTACTTGCCTGGACTTAGAACTAGGTGCGGGGCGTGGTAGACTACGGGATCGTTACGCACGCATGGAGGATGGGATAGCCTGGAGACTGCGCAACCGGCGCGCTTTACCCAACTACGGTGTTACCTACCAACTGAACTTACCGAAACGCTACCCAACTCCACACGCGGACGGAAAGACCGCATCCACCATGCGCTCGGCGACGACGCACCATGTGGCGGCTCGGTGGGCCCTGAGCACCCAGATTTACCCAAGACACCCGCACGCTCGCCCGCTTAATACATGCGACGCAACCTAGCCTACTGCTTTACCTAGCGCGTGAAGAAACAATATAACTACTTATACTTTATCCTTATGACACAAAGGAAAACAAATAAACACTAAACTAAGACACTAAACTACTACTACAAAACTACTAAACTAAAGGAGAAAGACCCCAACACGGGACAGGGTGCCCTATCCCGTGCTACCGATGTTGCGCGTCTATATAAGATCTAAATATGCTAATGCTCCCGAGGCTTCACCTATACAGATCCGCCACTTTCGCCGGATACCAGGCGCGACACCTCTCCGCTCCCAAGGTTCACAAGATCTTAAG